TAAAAAAGTTTACGTAAAGAATTTCAGATTCCTCCAGCATTTTCTCGGAGATGTTTTGCTCAATCATAATTATTTTTCAGAAATGATATGCAACTTAAGTTGTGCAAAAAAGATTCAAATTATTGAAAATAGCCATCATAACCATGTAAAGGAATAAAAAAAAAAGTGACAATTATTGTCCACATTTGTTCTCGCAGAGAATTTTAATAAAACTTCTAGGAAATAATAATCACCAAAGTAAATATGCCATTTACATTCGAAATATTCAAAATGGCAACCGTTTCCATGGGAGCAAAAGAAATATGGATATTTTAGAATTCCATTTTCTCAATAACTGCTAAGCCAAACTCTCTGAAACTTTAATGGATTGTTCATTGCATTCTGACGATGTGTATTTTACCAAATAAATTTGAATGTGTTGTCGCTATTTAATGGAAAGAAAAATGAGTTAACTACGTTCTCTCTGGAGATAGAAAAATTGATGTCACGTGACAGTTTTGTATTTTGTTCAGGTACGCCGTCTTGTGAAATACTGTTCTGACTCTATATGTACTTGCTTTTTCAACTTCCAACTCCAATAATGTAATGTTGGGATCAAATTGGGGTGATATATGCTATTGCTTGCAATAGCGAAAATTCTAGTTTATTATTTTGTCCTCAAAATTATTTTTGGGGTGGAATTAAGATTGGAAATGGAAAGGATGTTTGTAAGCATATTTTTCCCCTGTACTTGCAGCCTGGAATCTATGAGGGATGCCTTGGTAAGGCAGTGTCAATGTCGTTTTCTTTGGTTTCCATGTGCCCTTTCAAAACATATATTGGACAATTGTCAAAAGTTCTAAACCAACGAGGTTTGCACTTGATGCATGTCAAAAGCCTTCCAAATAACAAATAAAATATAATTATCGTATTTTTTTCTAATCTTTATCATCTGTAAGTAAATAATATGTGACATTCAGAAAGAAACTGTCATTACCGCTAATATCTTTAGGTGTGCCAAAAAATCGGGTACTTAGAACGTATTAAACAATAACTGACATGTTAGATCATATTTTTCTGATCAGATCTTCTTTATAAAAATCATTGCATTGAAACATTAAGCGTAATAGAAATGCATGTCATTAAAAGATCAACCATTTTACTGAAGAGAGATCTCAATCTTCTCAAAGAAAAAAAAAATCTTATACACCCCCCCCCCAATAAAAAATGAAGAGAAGAACGAGAAAGAAGGACCAGGCTCGGTATTTTTCTGAAAAAAATCTGTATGTTTAAATTGTACGGTTTGTAGGCTTTCAACATATTAAAATCTAATTTGTGTTTCTAATTTATCTAACGATGTAAATGTGTGTGTGGACAACCCATGAATAAACTACCTCTATATAGTAAAGGTCCTCAGGAATAACAAGAGAAGCAGGATTATTAATAAACAGATGAGAATACATATTAGATACAATTGATGGAATCATTTGAAACTTTTTATTTAAATAAGAATGATTGATTGGTTGTTGTTTAAATAAAAGACCCAGAATGTGAAACTGTAGTAAAATAAATGATTTTTTTTTGTTAATTAAGGGCATTCCGTTTCCAAGTGATTTTTAAATATGGAGGAAATAAATATTACAGCTGTATTATAATTCAGTCATGGGAGGCAGGTGTAAAAATAATTTCGATCTCTATCAATTGTTAAGTCAAGATAGAAGGCGATCGTAGTAATTATTTAAAAATGAATGGGAGACATTTTTAATTAGATAATATTTAAATTTCAACTGCATTAAAATTAACACCCTAGCAAACATTTAAAATTACAAGATAATATAAAACATTTAATTTCAATACAGTCCAAGGTAAGCTCGTGCGTAATTCAACGAAAGGGGTGGATAGATATAAAGGGGTGGAATAATTCACATAAAGACTGAAGTAAGGGGGTGGGATATTTCGCATGAGTTCTGATATATAAGGGGGTCCGGGTTTGTTAATTTTCCACTCTACCCGGGCTACACAGAGAGATGCGGTGGTGTTTCTGTCTGCTGGTTCTCTTCCTGGTAATGGTCCTTCTGGAATACACAGAGGGCGTAGACATGGACAAATGTATGTTTTGTTTTAATTTTGCAAACTTGGCAATCTTGTTACCTATTCAGCCATCTAACTACAACTTAAGTCATTTGATGTAAACTTTTATTTCATTTTATTATGAATTTTTTTTTCCTTCTATACATTTAAAAAAAAAACTGTGATGATTATATAAATTTTTGATTTCTCTTTTTGCTTCAGATTAATGTAAATCATATCACATATTTAAAACAAAACGATAAAGCATCTGCAAGTATAATCAATAACTCTTTACTCGTGTTGGTTTAATACGTAGTATTTTACATCTGGGTCTGCAATTATTTTTTTTCATAGCAGCATCCCTGTGTCTAAATCACAAAACAGCGTGCTCTAACGTTCTGATTTATGGCTTAGTAATGTTTATCAGTAATCAATCTAAAGTTCAGAATGAATTTATCGTTTGGTAATTTTTACTTAAGACTGAAAATTGCTAAACAACAATACGATAAGATAACCGGTATGTTTGTGAATTTATTTGTAAAGGAAGACACGAGTCAAATGGAATTTAAATAGCAAACTAACCAATATATATATATATATATATATATATATATATATATATATATATATATATATATATATATATATATATATATATATATAATTTCAAAAACAAAATGAAGAACCGGTACAGTTTTGCTGAGTGTATTAAAAAATAAAAATCCAAAAAATCACAAAATATTTTCTGCAAGCGCTTTCGCCATGTTAGGCTCTTCAGGCAGTTATACAAATGTCAGGTAGGTTACCTGGTATATATATATATATATATATATATATATATATATATATATATATATATATATATATATATATATATATATATATATATATATGAAACCAGGAACCCCGCAACAACCAACAAATGATCCTTTTTCTAAACGAAAAAAAAGTTCCAATAACAAAGAGAGAAAGTTATCTTAGATAAAGAATATTTGGACAATCAATAAGGTAAATTATGTACAGAGTATTATTTTTCTTTTATCAATAATTATAATAGTAACAATTATGAAAACATTACATGTAATTTTAAAAAAAAGTCACAAATTTACTTTGTAGTAAATAAAATCATCTACCTATATTCCGACCACCAGTGAAAGATTTTATATTTCTGTACTGAATTTTTGACATTTAATGACAAATCATGGTGATGAAAAATACAAATAAGTTTTAATGGAAAGTGAATCAAAACGATTCAACGATGGTTAGAAATGTTTTATATTAATTAAACAAGAAAGCATCTATGAAGATTCGAATTATCTAAAGCTACTTGAATTTTTATTGATCACACTGGAAAGTCGTAGATACACTGTACCACAGTAAATAAAAAAAGAATTAAACATGGCATTACAGAGAAGAGTACCAACAGTTTAAATCTACGTCTAAGACAGCTAGATTGAGCTCATTGTCAACAGTTCTCAATATAAATAATGAATGCTATTAGAAGTTATAATTTTTAGTCGAATTTGAAAACTTGCACCCAGCTATTGTACTAAACAGCAATTGAAAAAACTAAATTTTTGTGCATCAATTTAATTCCTCTTAATAATAGTTGTCTATCAAAATCAACATTTTTGAAAGAGATTTAGAGAGCGGATATATCAGGCGAAATAAGTGTGGATTTGCTGTAATTAATATTTATATAACAAAGATAGCACAGCTGAGTAAATTTTACATGCGATTTTCATCAAGATACTGAAACACAGTATTATAAAATGTGACGTAAATCAGGTTAGTGGAACTATGCTTCTTATGTATAGTGTTTCATACTTAAAGTGGACACGCGGATGTCCAACTTCATACTTCCGGTACATTGTGTATATAATTACCGGTATTTTACGAATATGGGTTATCAAGATTCAATTATTAACAGGTGCCTTGTCATAATTACTTAGTACTTGAAATTGAATTTTATATCTTATAAAAAGGCCTTTTCCCCCCTTGTTTTTACACTTCATGTTTTATTTAATGCGAAGAGAAAATAGTAAGGTTATAATTGTGAAGTTTTTTTGCCCTCTAAGATTAGTCCATGCTTTTGATTTTTTGATTCTGTATATCTATTATCGAGATTTAAATTGGCAAAAGCTACAGCTTTTAAATTGATTGTTAAAAATGTTTGGGTTTTTTTCTTACCCCAAAGCTATACACAACCTGGTTTTTATTGACAGACATTAAGTTTATTTAAAGTGTGTGAAAATGGTATCATTTGGATTTTATTTGCCAAATTATGCGAGAAATAAACGTATCATTTTCAAATTTTAAATATGGCATTGGAAATGTTTATCACTTTATTGGAAGTGATTCTTTTTTGTATCTGAATTATCAAATCTGTTTAAAATAAACCTTTACAGATTTTATTTTATTTTTAATTTTGTCAGACATCTCCCTGCTCCTTACATAAATTTAATTAAATAAAAAGCCTTCAGATAATCAAATTTTAAATCTTGTAAAATTAAATTGTTGTAAACCATTTCAACCAAATTGATTTAACTTGTATCGTTTTAATTTACATCAAAAGATTACTATGCTCCCGGTTCCAGAAAAAAATGTTTGGAATATTAAAAAAAATCATTATACCTACATTACCTAATAAAGCACCAAATAAAATAGTAACAGAAGGAAAAATCGACTTTTTCATGGTATTTTACAATGCAAGGAAATTTTCAGTTTGAAATTGTCAATATATTAAAAGAAGTATATTTATATAGTGACAAAGTGACCAAAACTTTGTTAAAAATGAACACATTTTATATCAGCAAGTCACCCCCCCCCCCCCCCAATATACCGGTATTACGATACATAAAGTAACGTTTTCTGTCCGTAGACCCCAAATGACATGACTTGATTAAGTTTTGTACATGTATTGCTAATTGATTTTCCATCCTTAAACACAGCCTCAAGGCAGAAAGAAAGGAACAAACTAAAGGAACAGAGAAGATTGGCAAGATACGAAGAAAACAAGGCAACTGTTCCGTATTTTGGATTGAATTAAACTATTCTGATTTATATGTAAAGTGTATTTCCTATTTGTTGACGATTTAAAGTCCATTAGTTTCTGTTGCTTTATGCTATATAGTTTTTCTTTCTAGAAAGAAGATGAAAAAGCAAAGAAAAGAGGACTCAAAAGAAATAGAGCAGACAAAATGGACGACAAGGTCTTAAGGTTTTTGTTTAAGCGAGGTCTTAAATCATCTTGATAATATATCCTTCTTTGTTTTCCGGTTCTTAAGAGGACATAAAGATGTTCGATAGAATTTCATGACTTACAAGACCGATAAAAAAAATATTGTTTAGAAACTTTTTTATTTCAAATTTATAATTTATAGGAATTTTGTGTTTGTTTTAGAACACCCTTCTATTTAAGAAAAAACGGGAAATTTGTGGTGATCATCTAGAAGATATTACAATTACAAACAAGAAATATGACAAAGCAGATTTAATACAGCTTTTTTGTCAGTTCGTTTTCAGACACGTGTGCAGTGTTAGTAAATCGAACCGAAAATATCGATTAACAATAACAGAGCTCGAGCATATTATTATTTAAAAACAAAGGTGTTTGATGTACCGTTAGGAAGAATGCCCTTGTCGTAGAATAAAGAGAATGTAATACAAGTTCAAATCAGTGAAGGAAGGCCTGTAGAATCTGATACTGTCTTCTTTGGGATGGATAAACAGTAACAAGCCATTTTCCTTTGGTAATTTGAAATTTAACTGCAATGTGCGTATTTTTCTTGATAAGTGACTTTTTTCTCCTGTCTTATAAGATTATAGCAGACTGCAGTTGATTTCTTCTCGTTTTTAAGGATCAGTAAATGTTTTCTTAAATATTATTACAATTGTACCTGGTAAAGATTTTTTTTTCTTCAAAAAAGCTCAGTTAACATTGGACAATCCCATATAAAATAGTGAGGGCGCGCAGAACAATCGGGATTATAATCAAAGACTGAAAAGGCATAATTATATATCTTTTTAAAATTTTATATGACTTCGAAAGCAATGATCTTCTTTTTAATTTTATAGGGCATCAATCCTAATGATCCTGATTATTTCTTTTTAATTTATAGGAAATCGATCCCAATCAACCTGATTTTTTTTTATTACTTTTATAGGACATCGATCCCAATGATCCTGATTTGCAGATGGTACTCAGCTTTGGAGTAGGAGTAGATGGTGACGTCAGATCTGTAAGTAAAATGATGAAAACAGGAACAGGTGCATGTATTGTTACATATTATCAAAAAATAAAAACAAATACAAAACAAACAAATACTTAGATAAATCATATTTGGCCGCATATTTTAGCCGAAAGGGACTCATCCCGAGAATTCCACGAGACTTCTGGAAGTCAGTCTGGACAGAACGGTTGAGACGGAAGTAGAGACAGAAAAAGAAGGAAATCCGGGAAAACAGGTACATTTATTTGATAACTTCCGGGGATCATTACTTTGTTTTACTTTATAGTTTATATGTAGTCTTAATAAAATATACCCCTCTCCCTTTAAAAATAATATTCAAGCATTCAATACCTTGGCAATTTCATTGCACTGTACCTTTTGCAGTAAATATACAATTATGTCCCGAAATATTCCGAATGCAGTAGGGAAGGTGGTCTTTTTTATCAAACATTTGAAATGTTTCAGAAATGATGAAAATCCTCAAAAAATCCTCAATAGTAAATCATACGGGTTGATAAGGTTTTTGGATCGAGTGACAAAATATTGAAAATTTCCATATCATTTCCTTTACTGAGAACTTGTCATTAAATTTGAGCTATTTTGTTTGATAAAATCAATGGGAAATGTTTAGCTATATAATTAAGGAGATATAGAGCTCATAAAGGTCAATGTTGGCTCTCTTTTGCTGTTAAAATGCACTGGAAAGCTCGTGCATTCTTACCAGTATCCACAAACAGAATTTCAATAATTCTAGAATCTTTTTAAACATTCCTTTACTTATTGAAATCGATAGCAAAAATTACACTTTAATTGTATAAAGTAATGATTATGCTGCTATATATTTAAATTCATTTGTTACAAAATTAAGTCAAAATCCCTATTTTTATGCCCCGCCATAAATATGGCCGGGGCATATAGTGTTTGTCATGTCCGTCTTCCGTCTTTCTGTCCTTCCGTCTGTCCTTCCGTCACACTTTGCGTTTACCTCTGTTCAAAGCTCAGTTTCAAAGAAACTATCCAAGATATTTTTATAAAACTTCATATGCTGATAGATATTGATGAGAGCTATGCAACTGCATCAACATTTTTTGACCTTGACCTTTCCTTTGACCTTGACCTCACTTTTCTTAAATTAGTGTTTAGCTCAGTTTTAAAGATACCATTCAAGATAGTGTAATCAAAAGTCATATGTTGAAACACACTGATGTAAGCTATTCAACTGCATCAACATTTTTTGACCTTGACCTTTCCTTTGACCTTGACCTCACTTTTCTTAAATTAGTGTTTAGCTCAGTTTTAAAAATACCATTCAAGATAATGTAATCAAACTTCATATGTTGATACATACTGATGTAAGCCATTCAACTGCATCAACATTTTATGACCTTGTGCTTTCTTTTGACCTTGACCTCACTTTTCTTAAATTAGTGTTTAGCTCAGTTTTAATGAAACAATTCAAGATATTTTTAATAAACTTTACATGCTGATACATACTGATGAGAGCTATTCAACTGCATCAATATTTTATACCTTGACCTTTCCTTTGACTTAGACCTCACTTTTCTTAAATTAGTGTTTAGCTCAGTTTTAAAGATACCATTCAAGATAGTGATATCAAACTTCATATGCTGATACATACTGATGAGAGCTATTCAACTGCATCAACATACCTTGACCTTTCCTTTGACCTTGACCTCACTTTTCTTAAATTAGTGTCAAACTTCATATGCTGATACATACTGATGAGGGCTATTCAACTGCATCAATATTTTTTGACCTTGACCTTTCCTTTGACCTTGACCTTATTTTTCTTAAATTAGTGTTTGGCTCAGTTTTAAAGAAACCATTCATAATATTTTTATCAAACTTCATATGCTAATACATACTGACGTATCCTTTTCAACTGCATCAACAATTTTTGACCTTGACCTTTCCTTTGACCTTGACCTCACTTTTCTTAAATTAGTGTCAAACTTCATATGCTGATACATACTGATGTAAGCTATTCAACTGCATCAATATTTTTTCACCTTGACCTTTCCTTTGACCTTGACCTCACTTTTCTCAATTTGTGTTAAAATGTTGCATTACTAATATACTTTCGGCGGGGCTTTCATGTCCTATGGACATAATTCTAGTTATATAATTGTGTAAAAGAAATATATACCTTTCATAATGTTAATATATGCCAAATGATTTTTCAAATTATGTATATATCAGTCTTTTGAATAGTTTTACATGTCTTTATTATACAATGTTGTTTTTTTTTTTTCAGAGACGAAGAAAAAGAAATTTTGGACCAGGCTCCACAAACTGGCCGAAAGGTGTCGTCCCATACATCTTTGATGACAATTTAGGTCAGTTTTAATCTGAATCCCAGAACTCAGGTATTTAATCACCTTTATATAAGTTGAAAAAGGAAGCTCAAGCAATGGAAACTCGAGAATGTTTTCAGTGTAAAAGTAACACAATAAATCTTTAAGGCCATATAAGACAATTTTTGTTATATTTTTACAGTTGCCAACAGAGCGCCATTTCTAGAGGCTATTGAGATATTCGATCAGCTGACTTGTATTCGTTGGAAGCAGAAATCCTCAGCAGTGGAGACGGAAGTCGGCCATACAGGATTCGTTCGTGTTCTAAAGTAGGCACCTTCTTTAAGAATTGAATTTGCGTTAAGGAAGCAACTGTACAATTACTTTATGTAGAATATGTTTTAGAAAGAGAAGTATTTTGCATTCCTTTTGTTTAACCGGTTCCTGATTTTTTTTAAATTTTAATTACCAGTTTTAACCATTTTTTATATGGAGAAAAATTAACAGATTTTCTGTCTGACCCCCCTGTGACAGTCACAATCTGTTCTGCGAGTTTGTTTTTTTTTTTTCGTCAGCATTGAATTTTTGTAATTTAACAGCGGAGGCGGATGCAGTTCAGGGGTTGGTTTCCATGGCAACGAAGAACATCACATTACCTTAGCAGAACCCGGGTGTGGCTCAGTACGTACTAAATCAAAGTGGTTATTTCTTTATTTTCTGTCTTCTACAGAATTTTTGCATTTACTGTATCGAACCAACAACCATAGCATAACAGATGTACATGTTTTATCTCTAAGTCTACTAGTGTTTGGATTTAGATTGCTCATCGAGATGGTCGTCCAATTCTGAATTGTGAATAAAAGTCTGATTCTTTTACCAAGTGTCTTCTGTTAAGTAAATTAATCATATTAAAAAAGTAATTTTACTGATCAATTTTAGTGTGTTACATGCATTTAAAATATTTCTAAATTGGAGAGAGCCTCGAACGATTGAGGGAATACTATCAATTAGAAATAGATAAGATAAACACCAGAATATAATAAAAAGTCAAATGAGCAAAATTAAGAGGGGCATGTTTAATCAGGATTTTCACCCGAAAACGATAGCACGAACTTTCATAATTACAAATTGTTAATATTTTTAAATCATATGAGAAAAATCTTGTGCCTCTATAACATGCTGGTATTTGTTGTAGGTCAGTATTGCTGTACATGAAATGCTGCACAGACTTGGACAGAGACACGAACAGTCCCGTAATGATCGGGATCGATATGTCAAAATAATTTGGGACAACATCGATCCCAACTACAAAAATAATTTCTACAGACGATTGACCTACAACCGTAACCCGTACGATGTAGGAAGCGTGATGCAGTACGGGTACACGGTAGGTATTCTCTCTATCATTGAATACAGTTGCAAATTAAAAGAAATATATACATCAGCTTTTTCATTCATTGATATTAATTGTCTTATTAACAATGTCAACATCCTCAGTCTTATTCATTGGAGACTATTAATTTCTTATACTGAACCCGAGAAAATGTAATCTTCTTTCAAAATATCGTGTTCCACTCTTTATTTCAAGTCATTTGGTGGTGGAAAAGCAACGATAGAACTTAAGGATAAGAACCTCTACTTCCTGGAAGTTCCTGGTGACCAGGTCATGTCTTTCTATGATTTAAAAGATCTGTTGGACCACTATGAATGTACAGGTAATTGAAGATGTTAGGCAAATTGTAACTACTTATTTAAAACTGTATCCTGTCTGCTTGTGCATTTAATACAGAAAGAATAAAGGTAACTGAATGCTTTTCTATTTCGTTTGTAGCCACATTGTTTAAATTGGGGAGGGTTTGCTTAAACTTATAAATTATAAGCAAATATATTGGCAGTCAAACACACAGCAAATTATGTCGTAAATGAAAGTCAATAGAAAACTTGAACATCTATTAATTTACTAGTTCATGATTTTTAATACGAGGTTTGTTGAAGCTCATTTTTTGAATGTTTTAGAAGTTAACGTTATTATATTTAATGATCCAACGTTTTATTAAAAGCTTAAGGAATGAATTACTACAGTTGACATGAAAATATGTAGCTACATTTCATTCATCAAGTGTAAAAAACAAAGTTATTTTGCAAAAGAAAGTGAAAAAGAAAACACTTTTGGACTGGAGAATATGAAGCCATACGTTGACTGTTGTCCAGTTCTTAACATAACATACATGTAGATATGATACGGTTCACTCACTTCTCTTCATTATAGGTATAAATTGGTTATTACAAACGAACCTATTAACCCTATATAGTGAGGTTCAAAAGAAAAAAAAACCTGACAGCTTTATATCTTTAAATTGTTATTTTCTGTTTTTTTTTTTTAGCTCATTGTACCTCCCCTCCAGTCTGTCAGAATGGGGGATACGTGAACGTAACTTGTGGGTGCACCTGTCCAGAGGGGTTCACTGGTAACCTGTGTCAAACCGTCGTCACAGACTCAGGTAATTAAATGCTGCCTCCAGGCTCCGTTTGAAACATTACAGGGAACATGTATGGGAGGGAATGATTACTTGTTTTAGGTCACTACATGTCAAAATATCAGCATTACACACATGACGAAACTACACCTTTCAGTCAACCGTATGATCACTGAAAGGTCTGGATAGGTGACTAAATGACAGAGCTTTGTCATTCAGACACATCTAGTAAATATTCAGTAATTTTCCAGTTAACTGAATGGCAGAGTTGTATCCTGTGACAGACAGTGTCAGTGGAATGTCATTGGTGAAGGTGAATTCCTCCCTTGATATTGCTAAATACTGTGAACAATCACTTATTTTCTTGAAGATTTATTTTTGTTGTTTTTAGCTCACCTGAGCCGAAGGCTCAAGTGAGCTTTTCTGATCACATTTTGTCTGTAGTCCGTATGTCCGTCTGTCTGTCTGTCCGTCTGTAAACTTTTCACATTTTCGACTTCTTCTCCAGAACCAATGAGCCAATTTCAACAAAACTTGCCACAAAGTATCCTTGGGTAAAGGGATTCAAGTTTGTTCAAATGAAGGGCCACGCCTTCTTCCAAGGGGAGATAATTAAGAATTCGTGAAAAATTAATGGCATCATAAAAAAATCTTCTTCTCAAGAACCACTGTGCTTGAAAATATGAAACTTATGTGGAAGCATCCTGAGATAGTGTAGATTCAAATTTGTTCAAATCATGACCCCCGGGGGTCGGGTGGGGCCACAATGGGCGATCAAAGTTTTACATAGGAATATATAGGAAAAATCTTTAAAAATCTTCTTCTCAAGAACAGCAAAGCCATGAGTGGTCATATTTATATGGTAGCATCCTCAGATAGTCTAGATTCAAGTTTGTTCAAATCATGACCCCCGGGAGTCAGGTGGGGCCACAATGGGCGATCAAAGTTTTACATAGGAATATATAGGAAAAATCTTTAAAAAATCTTCTTCTCAAGAACAGCAAAGCCATGAGTGGTCATATTTACATGGAAGCATCCTGAGATAGTGTATATTCAAATTTGTCCAAATCATGACCCCCGGGGGTCAGGTGGGGCCACAATGGGCGATCAAAGTTTTACATAGGAATATATAGGAAAAATCTTTAAAAATCTTCTTCTCAAGAACAGCAATGCCATGAGTGGTCATATTTATATGGTAGCATTCTCAGATAGTCTAGATTCAAGTTTGTTCAAATCATGACCCCTGGGGGTCGGGTGGGGCCACAATGGGCGATCAAAGTTTTACATAGGAATATATAGGAAAAATCTTTAAAAATCTTCTTCTCAAGAACAGCAAAGCCATGAGTGGTCATATTTATATGGTAGCATCCTCAGATAGTCTAGATTCAAGTTTGTTCAAATCATGACCCCCGGGGGTCGGGTGGGGCCACAATGGGCGATCAAAGTTTTACATAGGAATATATAGGAAAAATCTTTAAAAATCTTCTTCTCAAGAACAGCAAAGCCATGAGTGGTCATATTTACATGGTAGCATCCTCAGGTAGTGTAGATTCAAGTTTGTTCAAATCATGACCCCCGGGGGTCAGGTGGGGCCACAATGGGCGATCAAAGTTTTACATAGGAATATATAGGAAAAATCTTTAAAAATCTTCTTCTCAAGAACAGCAAAGCCATGATTGGTCATATTTAAATGGAAGTATCCTCAGTTAATGTAGATTAAAATTTGTTCAATTCATAACTCCCCCCCCCCCAAAAAAAACCACTTTTATATTTAAATTTTTCTACCTTTCAAGACTGAACTGATTTCCGCTTTTTCCTAGCCATAGTGCTCAGGTGAGCGATGTGGCCCCTGGGCCTCTTGTTTGGTATGAATCGACTCACGAATTTCCGTCTTTGTCAACCTCGAAGTTGAATCCCCACGAACATACCTGTTTTCCTCAGAGCACAAAGTTTTGACCTTAAAGATAATATGTGATTTTGCAGTACAACCCTAACTTAGCAATACATAATGTGTTTTTGAAGGTTCACTGAGCCATGCACATGTAAGTAAATCCCTTTTATTTTGGGAATTTCACTAAGCAAGGTAAATTCATGCTTAATTTCATAAATAGAAACTGTGGGCAAACATTGGATTGCTCACTGACCAAGATTAATATATGCAAACAAATAGTTTTGAGTTATACATGTACATTCTACTGTAAGATTCAAAAAAAGAATCCAGAGATTTAATTTAATAATGAAATATACGTATATGATTAACTGTACATTCGAATTCTGTTTTATTTCACTAACTACTTATTGTTCGTTTTCGAAGCCAAAGGAAAAAAAGCTTAACCCAATACAGCTTTGCAGGGTGATAAAAGGAGTAAGAATGTAAAAAAAAACTCTTTGTTATGTCAATACTTCATACTGAAAATAAAAAAGGACAGTTAAGCATCCTGTATAAAGAAATGGATTACAGACGATTTCTTGATGAACAGGAATCCGATAGGACCGTATGGATGTTACAAACTGGAATGCTACATGATGCAATAGGCTGATTGATTAACAGGTCGTAAAGCGGTATTATTCGGGTGTGACAAAGATTTCCAAATTTTAATCGATGTAAATGATGAAGGCGTCGAGTATGGAGGTTGAAGAATGAGAGTTCCAGTAGCTGCTGTGTGGTTCAGCATGACCAGTTTGGTGGGGTGTTGTCATTATGTTTCCATGAAAGGGTCCATGAAGTTGTATGTCATCAGAAATGGAGCACTGTCAAATATCAGATATAGAGATAAGATTCTTCGTCCAGTTTTACGACCATTTGACGGTACAAAAAGTACAGAATTCGTTCTGATGGATGATAATGTAAGACAGAGGGCAATCATTGTGAAGCGGAACCTTGAGGCAAGGTCTATAGAGAGAATGGAATGTTCTATTGTGGCAGAATCAGCAAAAGGGTCTTGTTCCATCCAATACAAATGAACATAAAGGTGCTCTTGTTGAGCTCTACTAAAAGGACCATTCATTCATCCATTCGTATTTTCTCCACGCGATGCAGGGCTTTTTTTCACGCATGGGGAGGGGGGTTACACAAAGTATAATAATGGTCGGATCAGTTAAAATGGCTTTCCCTGAAAAATATGCAATCAGTGCATATGGAAATTCACTCTAAATCAGGGGATGTACTTACAATGTAATTGGTACTCTTGTCCTTTTGTATTAGTAAATATTTACCATTAGTTTTTGCATGAAATATGTTGTTACTTTACAGAAGAAACCGTGAGATTTATGTTGCTTATATATACTCTAAATAAGATAAGAAATGAAGAATTTAACATCTCTTTACTTTTTTGGTGAGTATACCTCACAGTCAGAGAGAGAAGACATTGTTTGAGGTGTCCGTAGTTTCAAATACGTCTAAATTATTCATTAGTTGTAGTTTTGTTTCTGTTGAAAGTTTGAATCCGTTGTGATTTACTTCGTGTCTTCTTAAAATATGATGCTTCATTCTGGTGATTCATTAGTAGGTAGTTTACTTGTGGAGTTGTGAGTTTGTGCCGAGGAAATTCAATAAATGAAACACTTAAAATCTGAATTAATTCCTAGTCTTTAAATTGGTATTTCAGTTAACTTATTCTTAATCAAAATCATCTGCCTCAAGGAATATATAATCTTGTCTAATCCACTTGAACATATTCCTCTCCTTTTTCAGATTGTGGGGGATTTGTTTATTTGAAAGAAGCTACCATTCTAGGCGAAAACAAAGATGTTTTTGTGACATCCCCTAATTATCCCGGCCAAGCCGGACAGGGAAAAGTTTGTAGATGGGTTGTGAAGGTACGACATTAACTTTGTTTTGCGAAACAGGTTTTGCGACGTTATTCTATAAAGGCAATACATTGAAAAGCATTTGAGTTTGCTAAATATAGATATGCAGGAAAACTGGCACATTAGAACTCTGCCTGCACAGCACATTTCGGGGCTATCAATCGGGGAATTCAAGACGATGCTGTCATAAGAATTCTATTAATAATTTTGGAGAAAATGACTAAAAAATGAAAATTAATTGAAAATTATTTGCTATGAACAATTGAACAATTTCTTGAACATATCGACATTATCCTTGAACAGAAGGACAGTAGATTAAACATTTTCATTAAGGGACTGTTTGACCAAAATTACAAACGAAACCTGTTTCAAAACTTTTTTATTCTAGATCTCATCTGATTAGCTACATATTTTTCTGAAATGTTAAAATCTGTTTAGAAAGTATTTACTATTGTTAGGTTTCAGTGCTGACCCGAATATTTTAATATACCTTACAGGCACCAGAAGGATACATCATTAAAATGACAATTGACGACCTTCATATGGCCTTTAACCCGGATACACTTCGTTGTTATCACTGGTTGGAGATTCAGTACAATTTACCCGGACAACCTGGAATACGGTAATGTTAATACAAAAATATTGTAAAAGGTTACTTAACACCAAGATGTAAGCAAAATATGGTGTCGGACATAAGGCAAGAAATTTGAATTCTGTATATGAAGGACTCGCATGAGTAACAGAAACTTATGTATTTGAAACACAGTAACTTCCAATTTGCACGCTTTGACAGTTAAACATGGACAGAGAGCGTATGTTTTTTTTTTCATTTTACCGTTAGATACTCACGAACTTGTACTTATTTTACTGAAACAAAAATAAACTTTAGTATTAATACTGTATCTGTAGTTTGAAGAAGTAAATAGAAAAAGACAAATGTTTCAAGCATTTTGGAGGGTAACATAATGGCGATTTTTTTTTCTCTAGGCGATGTGGAGATATTGTTGGAGAAACCTTCCTGACATCGGTGGATTCCCCAACATTAATGATTGTTACCATGGATACCAGATTTGCTGGCAGCAGGGTTACACACAAAGGATTCAGGCTTCATTTCGAAAAAGAAAGAGAAGGTAAAAACGTACTTAATTTCACAGTAAATTTATCGTAAATCTCAATGGTAAGACGAATGTGTTTCTTCCACAACTACCAGTATTCAGTTAAAAAAACAAAACAATTATTATCATTATTATCTCGAAAATATATAACGAAGGAGCCTTCATTTGATTCTATATGTTTGCATTTCCCTGTGAGTAGTATGCAGGGACAACCCTTGTCAGTACGGGACGTGTTTCCCTACTGAGCTGAAGGTGTGCGAGTACAAGTGTGTGTGTCAACCCGGGTACATTGGGGACAACTGTGACCAAGTCATTGGTAAGGCGTCACCTTTTTGTTTTGTTCTATAATTATATAACTCTATTGGATCAAAATCTAAGTTAGAGATGAATAGACTTTGTCAGAAAATACTAAGTTACTGATTCAAAAGAAATATAATTTCTTTCTTCAGCTGATGTCAAGCTTAAATGCACCTTTGAGAGGCATGAAAAGTGTTTCTTTCAAAATATTCAAGAAGGAGACAATTTTGAATGGGGTCCTGGGTTTGTAAGTATAAACTTTGCTGTTTTTTTATTAAAATGAAATTAGGCAAATTGTTAAAGAGTGAAGTTATTTTCATCAATAGATATGAAGTGCATTTTGAACAAGTGTATATGCTATACATTCAATAGCAATATGATAAGTAAAAATGATCCTTTTGAAGAATGTAAGTTTATAGTTTTCCTATGAACTTGATGAAAGTTTGAGTACACCCGAAAATATAATTTCTTCTTTTCACAGTAACCTGAAATTAAAATTAAAATAGCAGCTTCTTTAAAATGCATTTAATTTATGACTTTTTTTTCAAAACAATTGATACTTGTATCTGATTTGATTTGTATTCCATGGGTAAATATAACTGTACTTTCTATCCCTTAATCCTTTAAGAAATATACTTCGTCAGTGGGAACAGGACCAGAGGAAGCCTATAGAGGAGAAAGTTACCTCTTCACAGAGATGTCCTCACCCAGAAAACCCGGGGATAAGGCTATCCTACAGACTGCTGTACCCCTCCCAGGTGATAATAATCTCACAAGTATTGTGTAATGAAGACGACACATTGTTTACATCGCCTGATCCATCATTATAACGTGTATTGTTAACATTGTTTTAGATAAACGCTATCTAGTTGTATCAAATTTCTTTTCAATATTTTTTATATATATTGTCTTGTCAGAAAAAGCAGGTTGTCTGTCATTTGCATACAATATGTTTGGATTGAACGTAAACAAGCTGACATTATATGCGGAGGGAACAAGCACGGCGAAAACTTCTCTTTGGTCTAAAGAAGGAAATCAGGGCGCTGATTGGTTGATGGCCCAAGTCAATGTACCGGCCACAGCGGGACTGAAGGTTTGTTATTCCTGTTGCAAGAGTTTTCTTCTAACAACTCTTTCTGAAAAGAAGTTTTATTCAAAGAGAAAACAACGTCATTAAAGGGTATTCTTAATCCAGCATGATTTTTTTTTTTAAATTTACAACATCAGAAAAGGTTTCAAATATTTTTAAGGACATATGCAACATAGTTTGAACTTTATTGTCTTTTTCCCTGGAGTTGAAGAGTTCCAAAACTTGAAGGAACTGTGTGCTACATTTTAATGTCTATATATGCTGTTGTACACTTCTTCTAAAACAATTTTGGATAAACAAAACATCTAGAATATATGTTTAATAATTTTTGTATATTTTTCTTTGAATTACACAAGAATTTTCATCAATTAATATCTTTTCAAAACCCCTGGTAATGCATGCTGATTTTTTGTCTACGAACATCTGATGGCACTGTAATCTTAAATTAAGAATATCTTGAAAAATTATCAGTAGGTAAGGTACGTTGCATATGTCCTTAAAATATTTAGATGGGATTTTTGTTAAAACATAAAATATGATAAATGAAATGGTTAAATGAGATACCTATCTGTCGATATTTACTTTTCAATGATCAAAATATTAATTTGATTTAAAGTAAATGTTTCTCAATGGTTAAAATATAGTTTTTAGAACTGTTTACCCAGGTCATTTATTTTTAAAGTCTGAAAAAGTGAATTTCAGTATACATATATCTACCAAATGTACACTTAACATACTGGTTTCAATACTCTAATTATTCCAAGTAAATTTGGACTATGTAATGAGAAATACATGAATATTATCATGGTTGTGACTTTTTCCCCATTCTGTATATTTCAGTTGTCGTTTGAAGCTCTTACTGGCGATGCTTGGGATAGTGACGTAGCTCTTGACGAGATCACGTGGGAGGTGGGACAATGTGGTGAGTAGTTTACCTAAATCAGATGTTACCTTGAAATTGTTCCATAAACGTAGTCTACACATATTTTAATAACCTATGTATATACTGAGAATCATTTAAATAGTATGTTGGTGTATTTGGCAGAAAAAAATCATTTCTTTTCCTATGATAAGGCACGTTTTGTAATATTGCAGTAATTTAGATGACTCCAAATAATAACGTATGTCTAATACTTTCTTCCTGAAGCTTATTCACTTGTTAATTTTATGTATTAAAAAGTATATATTAAAAATAGTGTATTACAGAATTTCTCTCTTTAGTAAACTCTGAATTTTTGCCATAATTTAAACTCACTTGAATGTCAAGACAGTTTAGTTTTATAAACCTGGTATACAGCGTCTTCCATATATCTGAGTAGAAACATTTCACTCTTGGACACCCAGATATATGAAATGTAAACAAATAAAAACTCATATTCCCCCTGGGTGATTCAGCAATACTCAATCGAAATCTTCTGGCAGTTTTAACTTTAAAATATCATTTATTTTAAGGATACAGTTTTGGGTATTTGATTCGTTTGATATTTGAAGAATGAAACGGCACTATATTTTAGCAGGGAAATATTTTACACTGATGAATAAAAACATTTTTGTTTCATAGATGCAAGTAAGCTGAAGAATTGTGTAGAACTGGGAAAAGAGTACGAGGGAACACGTGACTATACTAAAAATGGGGTCAAATGTCAGGCATGGGCAGTCAACGAGCCTCATGATGTACCTGCAAGTAAATATCACCTAGAATCAACTCAAAATATTTATGAAAAGTTCATACTTTACTAGTTACACACAAGAAAAGAAACCTATCCAAATTGATTGTACTGTATGAGCTTATTTGACTGTTTCTAGAGTATGCCTACCTTGCGACAGAATCCAACTACTGCCGAATCGCTGACGAGCCCTCTCCGTGGTGCTACACCACATCAGCTACAACACGGTGGGACTGGTGTGCCGTACCCTACTGTAGTAAGTAAACAACCTTAATAGATGAACTTGTCTTTCATCAAATTACAAAGTTTATCTGATTTAAATTATTGATATATACTGCTTAAAATATGTCATTTAGCCATGTTATTTGGTTTTTACACTTATCCTTATTTATTAGTCCCCTACCGGTGAAACCGGAGGGGACTATAGGTTTCCTCTGAGTCTGTCCGTCCGTCTGTCCGTCCGTCTGTCTGTCTGTCTGTCCGTCTGTCTGTCTGTCTGTCCCTCTGTCTGTCTGTCAGTCTGTCCCACTTGGTTTTCCGCACTTTTTTCCTAAACGCTTGCAGATATTAAGCTGATTTTTGGTATGTGAGTGTATCTTGATGAGTTACAGATCAAGTTTGCATTTCGTTCCGCTTCATTGATTTTTGACGGAAATACGGCCTTTTCAATTTTTACGGGTTTTCCGCAATTTTCTTCTAAACGCTTGTAGATATTGAGCTGATTTTTGGTATGTGGCTTTACCTTGATTAGTTATAGATCAAGTTTGCATTTCGTCCCGCTTCATTAATTTTTGACGGAATTATGGCATTTTCAATTCTTAACGGGAACAGAACCAGATTACACTTGCCGGTAGGGGACTAGTATTGCTCATGCAATACTCTCAGAATGCTTGTTAGTTTTTATTTTCTTACAATATTACTCAATTTGTCATAAATTTGCACTGACATTTTTAATAACGCATCTTATGTAAGGTGCAACGGAGTGTGCGTACACAGCTAATGGCGCGGATTACAGTGGGACCATGAGCCACACAAAGTCAGGTTACCCCTGCCAGAGATGGGACTCGCAGACTCCACATGCTCACGACTACAACAAGCTAGATAAGGATGAGAACTACTGTAGAAACACGGACAATAGTCCTCAGCCCTGGTGTTATACCCAGGACCCACACATACGCTGGCAGGAGTGTGAAGTTCCGCGGTGTGGTAAGACAAAAAAATGTGTGGAGGTAAAGCTTTGCTTATACAGATTCCAATAATTTGCTAGAACAAGGTCGATTTATTTATAAATTAGGAACTTAATGTTATGGTATTGTGTAGTAGAAATGACATTAAGTATCTATGCACATTTTTAATCACGTTTATTTATTAGTGGGAAGTCATTCGGAATTATGCCGAGGTACTACTGTAACAAATTCGTTCCGTTTTAAAATCTGCATAATGAATCAATAATTTTTAATCCATGTCGAGTCAAAAGTCAAAAGAACATTCTTTGTTATATCTTGAACTCTGTAAATAAATTCATATATAATTTTTATGCCTTTATTCATATACATGTATATAACTAAGAAAAAAAACATGTAATTACAAACGTTATCAATGGATTTATCCCTTCCTCTCTAAAGTAAAAAATACTGCTACTGAACTAAATGATGAATTGAAGGTGATTTTTTTGCAGAGAAGATAGAGAGGGATTGTCTTATGACAGGAAGAGGTTTAGATTATGTTGGAAAAATTAGTGTATCAAGCTCAGGAAAAACATGTCTAACTTGGACAGATGGTAAGTGCCGATTTCTAAAATTCTGATCAAACATAGAATGAAATGTGTATAAAATGGACTGATTCTTGACATGTGGAAAAGGAAAATTAAAAAAAATAGGATATTATAAAATTCAGTCTGAGTTATATGGATGTAAGCTATGTTTATACAATTTATAGATGCATTAATTAAGTGAATCTATGAATTTTTACTGCTGACAGCTCAATAACTGACCAAAGTATCTTTTAAAAGTATGTTTAATCAAAGGATAAAAGTCATATTGGAATTATTTTCTTTTTGAAAATGGACTTGAGATAAATACCACTTTTAAACATAATACTGTTTGAAAGTAAGGTATGACACCAAATGATTAAATATTTTGGAATATAGTAGAAGGTTTCCTTGTTATTTCAGAGTCGATGAGTGATGAGGCTAATTACTGTAGGAATCCTGATTCTTCCTCAAAGCCTTGGTGTTACGTACAGGGAGACACGGGTCCCACGAAGGAGTACTGTAATATAGCATCATGTGGTAACTACTATTTATAACTGTTGCTGATTACTCACCTAGTAAATGATATATACCGATACTAATTATAGTTACCTGAGTACACATCCAGTCGTGTAGGAAGGGATCTACTGATACAAATTAGAATAAAATTAGTAAACATCCTAACGTGTGTTTAGGGATCTACTTATATAATTACAGTTAACTGAGTACACACCACATAATGTGGTTAGGGACCTACTGATTCAGTAATAATAAACATCCTGTCGTGTGGTTAGGGACCTACTGATACTATAATCGTAAACATCCTACCATGTGGGTAGTGATCTACTGATACAATTAGAGTAAACTGAATATTTTAAAATCCCGTTATATGGTTAGGGAATTAATACAAAGTAAAAAATGAAACAATTATATATATTCTGTTTTCACTCATTGCAGCTGATTCGCCATGTTTTCCAAATCCGTGTAAAAACAGAGGACAGTGTGAAGTGGCAGGAACCTCGTTCACATGTACTTGTCTAAACGGGTTCACCGGAGATAACTGTGAAATAGAGGGTAAAGCATTATCTTACAAATACATATACAATAAAAATTAAAAAGTGAAATGTACTAGTTAAAGTATATAAGTTAAATTTCTCTTTCGAGGTGCCAGTTGCATTGTTATACTGTGCATTGGAGTTTTCAGTTAAGATATTCTGATGATGGTGATAATTAATTGAATTTAATTTTCTGTAAATTTCATATTGACTTTGAGAAAGGTTCGGAACATTCCATTTATTGTAGGTATAGTGACTCCAGTCAGCTTGCTTCTATTTAGTACTAAATGTAAAATAATTTTATTTTAAAACAAGAGGCCCATGGGCCACATCGCTCACCTGAGTAACTTTGGCCATGCTGTTCATTATCAGACTCCCCCCTTGTAATACCTATTGTGACCCCACCCTCCCCCCAGGGGCCATGATTTGAACAATTTAGAATCTACACTACCCCAGGACGCTTCCACATAAGTTTCAGTTTTTCTGGTCCAGTGGTTCTTGAGAAGATTTTTAAAGATTTTTCCTATATATTTCAATGTAAAACTTGGGATTCCCCCTATTGTGGCCCCGCCCTATCCCCTGTGTCATGATTTGAACAATTTAGAGTGTACACTACTTGAGGATGCTTCCACATAAGTTTCAGCTTTTCTGGCCCAGTGGTTCTTGAGAAGAAGATTTTTAAAGATTTTTCCTATATATTTCAATGTAAAACTTGTATTTCCTATTGTGGCCCCGCCCTACCCCCGGGGATCATGATTTGAACAATTTAGAATCTACACTACCCCAGGATGCTTCCACATAAGTTTCAGCTTTTCTGGCCCAGTGGTTCTTGAGAAGAAGATTTTTAAAGATTTTTCCTATATATTTCAATGTAAAACTTGTATTTCCTATTGTGGCCCCGCCCTACCCCCGGGGGTCATGATTTGAACAATTTAGAATCTACACTACCCCAGGATGCTTCCACATAAGTTTCAGCTTTTCTGGCCCAGTGGTTCTTGAGAAGAAGATTTTTAAAGATTTTTCCTATATATTTCAATGTAAAACTTGTATTTCCTATTGTGGCCCCGCCCTACCCCCGGGGGTCATGATTTGAACAATTTAGAATCTACACTACCCCAGGATGCTTCCACATAAGTTTCAGCTTTTCTGGCCCAGTGGTTCTTGAGAAGAAGATTTTAAAAGATTTTTCCAATATATATTTCAATGTAAAACTTGGATTCCCTATTGTGGCCCCACCCTACCCCCGGGGGTCATGATTTAAACAATTTAGAATCTACACTACCCCAGGATGCTTCCACATAAGTTTCAGCTTTTCTGGCCCAGTGGTTCCTGAGAAGAAGTTTTTTAAAGATTTTTCCTATATATTTCAATGTAAAACTTGTATTTCCTATTGTGGCCCCGCCCTACCCCCGGGGGTCATGATTTGAACAATTTAGAATCTACACTACCCCAGGATGCTACCACATAAGTTTCAGCTTTTCTGGCCCAGTGGTTCTTGAGAAGAAGATTTTTAAAGATTTTTCCTATATATTTCAATGTAAAACTTGTATTTCCTATTGTGGCCCCGCCCTACCCCCGGGGGTCATGATTTGAACAATTTAGAATCTACACTACCCCAGGATGCTTCCACATAAGTTTCAGCTTTTCTGGTCCAGTGGTTCTTGAGAAGAAGATTTTAAAAGATTTTTCCAATATATATTTCAATGTAAAACTTGGATTCCCTATTGTGGCCCCACCCTACCCCCGGGGGTCATGATTTAAACAATTTAGAATCTACACTACCCCAGGATGCTTCCACATAAGTTTCAGCTTTTCTGGCCCAGTGGTTCCTGAGAAGAAGTTTTTTAAAGATTTTTCCTATATATTTCAATGTAAAACTTGTATTTCCTATTGTGGCCCCGCCCTACCCCCGGGGGTCATGATTTGAACAATTTAGAATCTACACTACCCCAGGATGCTACCACATAAGTTTCAGCTTTTCTGGCCCAGTGGTTCTTGAGAAGAAGATTTTTAAAGATTTTTCCTATATATTTCAATGTAAAACTTGTATTTCCTATTGTGGCCCCGCCCTACCCCCGGGGGTCATGATTTGAACAATTTAGAATCTACACTACCCCAGGATGCTTCCACATAAGTTTCAGCTTTTCTGGCCCAGTGGTTCTTGAGAAGAAGTTTTTTAAAGATTTTTCCAATATATATTTCAATGTAAAACTTGGATTCCCTATTGTGGCCCCGCCCTACCCCCGGGGGTCATGATTTTTACAATTTAGAATCTACACTATCCCAGGATGCTTCCACATAAGTTTCAGCTTTTCTGGCCCAGTGGTTCTTGAGAAGAAGATTTTTAAAAATTTTTCCTATATATTTCTATGTAAAACATTGATTCCACATTGTGGCCCCGCCCTACCCCCGGGGGTCATGATTTGAACAATTTAGAATCTACACTACCCCAGGATGCTTCCATATAAGTTTCAGCTTTACTGGCCCTGTGGTTCTTGAGAATAAAATTTTTTAATGACCCCACCCTATTTTTGTCTTCTCTTGATTATCTCCCCTTGTGAGGGGACTTGGCCCTTCATTTTAACAATTTAAATTCCCCTTCACCCAGGGATGCTTTGTACCAAGTTTGGTCAAAATTGGCCCAGTGGTTCTTGAGAAGAAGTCAAAAATGTGAAGAGTTTACAGACGGACGGACAGACGGACGACGGACAAAATGTGATCAGAAAAGCTCACTTGAGCCTTTGGCTCAGGTGAGCTAAAAATCCAAAAATAGCTTGAGTAATTGACAAAGAAAAGGACTATTATATGAGATGAATTTAAAGTAAACACTATACAATTTCTTTAGTACTATAATACAAAAGAAATGAACTTCTCGTTCAGATATATCACCGAAATATGGCTGAAATATTTCCGACTCGGTGTTAAACAATAATTATCAATCAATTGGATATATATCAACATGAAAGTTATATACCATAAAACATCAAGTTAATATATGATTTTAATGAACTCATGACATCAGATATATCACCGTACATATTAAATATGAAAGAGTGAATGTATAAAATTGACATGGCATTTGTCTTTATCTTTTTTTTTTAAAAATGTTAATGGAAAGAGAATTATTTCAAATAAACCTTAAATCAGAAGTGTATTTTTGGACATTACGTGTTTCCCTGAAACATAATTGCAAAATAGGACAGATTACTAAGAAACAATACATTTTACAGTTTATTTATAGCAAGATGTCTATAATATTTCAATTCAGTTAACAGTTCAATTTAGTGTATTATGCAATGCATGACAATCACCAACATTGTTGTTTTTTTTTTAATATCAAAACTTTTTCATAAAGATTTTTTTTTTAGATCAACGACAGGATCCCGAGTGTAAAAGAACAACAACAGGATGGGAATACTTAGGAAAAATAAACGTGACGGTATCAGGGAGGTCTTGTCAGGCCTGGGGGTCACAGACTCCTCACGCCCACTCATCCACGACCCTGCCAGAGAACTACTGCAGGAACCCAGACGGCGAGGCGGCCCCCTGGTGTTATACCACAGACCCAAACAAACGATGGGAGCTCTGTAATATCCCCGACTGTGGTAAATAAGAATCAACTCTATTTTTTTTAAATAATTAAATGAAATAAGAAATAATAATTTTTAGTATTTTTCATGTCTGTGAATATTTCGATAAAAATACTTCGTACGAAAATGTTTTTCCATTTTGCCAAAGGCTTAAACAATTAAAACCTCAAATATCTCTCGAAAAAGGAAACTTGTTCAATTAAAAAGCATTATTTTGATTTCGATAACTTCGGCTACTATTTTATAGAATTCAAACATTGAATAAGCATGCTCAGTTCGCCGTTTTCAAAACTGAGCTCTAGTTTGTAAAGAACTTAAACCAGGTTGTAAGCGACATAATAGTTGCTTCAAGAAAATTCCCTAATTCGTCCTATGACTATCGCGTAACAACTTTGAATTCCTTTGTTAACTGACACGTAAATGTTTTGCTCCTGATGTCTATAAAAAGCTCGACTTTTTCAGATTAAGTCTCTAAAATGTTAGTTACATGTATACACATACATTAACCATATGTTTAATTTAAATCATTATATATAAAACAGACCATTTTTCTGTCAATTTACAAACAATTGCCTGAAACATGTTAAATCCAGACCCAATTTACAATCAAACTGTGTCTCAGAAAAAAAGAATAGAACTATTTTTCAATCTTTTCAAGGCTTTCACTAAAACAATAAAGAGAAAAAAATTCCTTTATATCCAATCATTCATAAAGATAACTCTTTTACAGTAACGCCAGCAACGGAATGCCTCACTAGCTCAGATCCTACAGGAAAACGCTACTTCGGAACACATAACGTGGCTGATACTGGAGACCTATGTCAGGCATGGAGCAGTAACTCACCTACTGCGCATAGTTTTGGAAATCTCGCTGATCAATCTAACTACTGCAGGAACCCGGATGGTGAGAGCGCCCCCTGGTGTTACACAGTCAATCCAAATGTTCGCTGGAGCAAGTGCAACATTCCTCATTGCTGATATCTGTTGTTATTTTAAGAAATTCTAACACTCTATTGATTGCTGTAGTATCCTATTATAGATAATGAGAGTTAAAACTGTTTTCCCTACAGCTTATGATACCTTCTTTATATATGTCATACCAAAAGTTTATGTTGCTTTCTGTGGACTTTGTGAAAGTTGGTTTATCTTCCTATTACTGTTAAATAGTTCAATTTATCTGCCACTCTTACATCATTGTTCAAAATTTTTTTCTACTTGTTAAGTAGAAATTAATAAATCTCGATGCAAAATGTCACTTTGATGCCCATAATGTTTTATTAAATATCTTTTCATTTGTTGTTCTCCTTTCTTTATTTATTTGGTTATCACAGCTTACCCTGTCGTTGTACACAGCGCCTTCTGGGCTTGAAAATAGATCAGTACAAAATGGTATATGGAAAACAACCGTAAACGTTGGAATATTTATAGTATTTTCCAATTATTACCAGAAGTTGCAATCGCTACTCTATAGTGGTATCTCCGTTCTTTACCCTTCCTTTCACACATTGCAATATAATTGTTTAAACTTGCATTTATAACACAATATTTTATGCATAACAATGGAAAATATCTATTCTTTCTTTATGATTAATTTCAAAAATAGTTTAATCTAAATGTCAAAAATACAATATGTAGTTTCATGTAGTTACTTTCATTAACTAGATGCTATCATAAGACAGTAATACCCGCACTAATGTGTTTGCCTCAAACTGCAGGCACGTAGCATCAGGGGGGAGGGCAGAGGCGGCCTGCCTCCTCCCCCCTTTTTTTCGAAACATAACTTTTTACTATTGAAAATGTTCATGAAAGTTGAACCCACCCCCACCCCACGAAATAGGATTTTTGAGTTTTGGAAAATAAATTTTCTTTGGCTTGTCAAGTTTTTTCAGGTAAGTTGAAATTTTTTTCTCTGGCTGCCCCCCCCCCCCCCTCCCCACTTTCAAAAACGTTGCTACGTCCCTGAAATGTGCTCTGACTGCTCTCCTTCATATTCTGGTAACCAGGGAAGAAGCACACATTTAAATCAAGCATAAAATGCTCAGGTGAACATGCAGCCCATATGGGCCTCTTATGTAAATCAGGTGCGGATCCAGGAATTTTTTCCAGGGGGATCCAACCCAGAAATTTCTTGGCAAGCAAAAAAAAAACAAAACAAAACAAAACAAAACCAAAAAAAAAAAACAAACAAAAAAACTAACAACAAAAACACTTAAACTCCTCTCCCAAATGTGAAAACCTATTTCATGGTAGTGGAAGTGGTGGTAGGGGGGGGGGGGAGTGGGGGTTTGGCCGTTCACTTTTTAAGCTTCATATGTATAACTTTTCATACCAACTTAACAGGGGTCCGTGTTTTCTAGGGGGGGGGGGTGTTACAAGGTCACTTTTTTATGTAGTTGCTTTCGTATATGGGTTCCGGACCCCCCCCCCCCCCCCCCAGACCCGCGCATGTTAATATTTCATTACCAGTCTTATATTATCTAATGTAAATTCTGATAAAGAGAGAATTTTTGAAAGATTTGTGTAAAAAATTTTATTACAACAGGTGATGAATTGTAATTGGGATTATAACCTAAACATTAAGTATACTGCACTCTTTTCGTCAACTTCTGGTTATGGGAGAAAAACTACAGAATTTGAGCATTAAACTTATTCATTAATTTCATTGATGCACCTAATTGATTTTCCCTTTATTCCTCCATGAGCAGTCGATGAACCAATCTCGCACACACATGGGGCCTTCTGAAGATTTATTAGTAGGTTATGGACAGTGCTCTCACTATCATTCAACTAATAGGCTATCTTATATCGACGATCTACAGTGACAGCGTCTTTTGCCATTGCCAGTAGCTGTTTGTTCTACACGGGAACCCGATCAAAAAGCTTCCGCTTTGAAAACTCTCATTTCACTTGTGTACTAAAGATCTAGTGATATTTAAATATTTTTTCTTCTGTAGTCATTTAAAGTTTCTTAGGGCGTCATTACGACATCTAAATCAAACCCAACTGCTCTCCGGTGCGCCGTAACGTCGCCATTTTTTAATTCGTATGTTGCGTTTACCATTTTCCCACTTTAAATGCTCGGGAAACTGCCAAAAATTAAGCAAATGCCTTGATATTTTAAGAAAGACGAAATAATAGTTAGTGGATTAAAAATAGGATAATTTTTACCCCAACCTTATCTATTTCATACTTTTATTTCAAAATAATACTCGTGTATTCGCTAATGAAACCATGGGGTTTTTGATCGTGCGCCGTAGAATATTGACCGGGGATCATTTGTCTACGTAGAAATTTGCCCTCCCCCCCCCCCCGGTCAATATTCTACATAGAAAAATGACCCACTTTTTTGTAGGAATTTTTTCCCCCTGTGGATTGTAGAATAATGACCCTGTGTCATTTTTTGATTGCAGAAAGAAAAAAAAATGCATGGTTTTGGTAGGATAATTGATGTAAGGTAAATACACAAGGGTTAAATCACGCAGCCTTATGATAGGAAATGTTCATTTCTAAAAGCTTTAACGTTTAAATGACAAAAGGTTATACTATACTTTACATTAATAATACAAGATGTTTTATCACCATTAAAGGAGAGCCTAACAAGGCTATAATGATGTTCTATCACTATTAGAGCAAGAATACTGGTCGTACGTTCTTTGATTTGTTTTGTCACACCTAATAAAATAAGTTTCCAGAGTTGTAATCATTTTAAAAATAAAGATCATTTTCTTAGCCTGTGTAAGAAAGGGATATATTAAAATAAAAAAAAATGTATGTAGCTTCCATAATTGTAATCCTCTTTGATTTTACTCTGGAAAAATAATGTGCAACAAATAAAAAATATAGTCTTCCTTTTTCCTTAAGAAGGTATAAGAAAGGTTAACAATTTGGAACCTTACCCAAATAAAGCTTCACTTCTATATGAATAGGGATTCCACCTATAGGGCTGGGATTAGTTTTTGTCTGTACAAAAAGCTTGTGGATTCCCGTTCCAGTTATTGATTTTAGGCTAAATGCATGTAATAAATTGATTTTCATAAATCATTTCCGTGGATTTAATAAAAACATGCCATTAATGAACATGTATTCGAATTATATAAAGGACATCCAAGGGAGTGCAGTTACTGATATGTGCCCTACTGTTTCAAAACTGATATGTGCCCTACTGTTTCAAAACTTAAGATCTGATTAAGAATATTGACTCAGTACAAAAGTACATGTATGTTATTCTAAATATTTAAAGCTCAAAGAATACAAGCAGTACGTAACATATTAACCCAGGCAAGCATTACAGACGGAAGGAATGTTTAAAGCAATGTGATTAAATTCTAAGGAATGTATACAACTGAAATCCATCGCAGCTCATTGCAGCCGAGAATACCTGTATCGAGTTACACTGAGTGAGATATTATTGTCCTCAAAGAAAGTGTGCTATACTGAGGTATTGTTCCGCTTGACTGTGTTTTAGGTACATTGGAATGTTACGATTTGCTCACTCTTTAGTGTTTCTTATATCAAGAATGGGAATGCATAAAGGATAGATAATTGAAGGAACATACACAAGCCTATAAAAAATTAAAATAGTCTTTGAGAATGCGAAAATTTAGAATTATAAAAAAAGATTATCAAAATCAACTTTCATTATTTTTTGTAGGTTTTTGTTAATTTCGACCCTAGGGCAGGGGTATCCCTAAAAGTCATATCTTAAATTATTCCTTAATCACAACCTACCAAAATATCGCAATTTTATTTAGGGGAAGGTCTGCCCTGAAGGACTTCTAGGCCAAAATTCATGCAAAAGTCGGCGCTTTAATGGACAAAATACTGTTTTGGCCAACTTTGGATTTTTATTCTTAAGTCGTAAATAATAAGTTTTACGTGAAAATACAAATTCGAAAAAATTAGACATTTATACGGAAGAAAACAACTAATAAACATTGATTTTTAAATGTTACTTTTTCCAAGAAATTGTTCTATAACTATGGGCCTATTCTATTGAAACTTTGAATACAACCTTTGCGTAACAAAATGGAAGACTGATAAGAAAATTCGATCTCGTAAATATCTTTGATTTTCTATTAATAAAGTCTCAAACGTTTTCTCATAAAAATATAGGGAAGATTTATAATACATTTGTGAAAAAATAAAATAATACAAAACTAAATCAACATGCTTATGACCTTCGATATCAGGGGAACAAAAAGTGATTAGCTCAAAATCTTCACGAAATTGATGTTTTTTTATCGCTTGTTAGTGTCAACAAAGTCTTTAAGAAAATGAGTTTTTTTACATAAAAAAATGATTGCTTTAAAAAAGAGGTGTTTGGTATACCAAGAATTTACAAAAGTTTATACAAGGTATATCGTCTTTTCCCTTTCTAGTTACATGTAAAAAAAATTATCAATAGCAAAAAAAAACCCCAGAATGTTGCAAAAAAAAAAGCTTCCCAGTCTAATTTACATAATTTCTTCCTGGGTATGATTGGAAATATGAGCACATTTGAAATTGTGTGTGCCAAAAAATATAGAACTGTACAAAAACGTATTGTAACAAATTGTGTTAGAATCAAGTACCATGCGAGATTCGTATAAGCGTATCTATAGTGGCGAGTTTTGAAGGGGTTACGGGGTTGTAGCCCACTCATTAAATTTGCTAGTAGCCTATTGGAAAAAAATCCTTTCTGGCCATGTACGTCTTTCCTATAAATAAATTAAGCGTTCGTGCTGTCTGAAACGAGGTTTAAAAATATAAAAGGGTTATTAGGATAAAAGTGAAAAGAAAACTTTTCCTTTCACCGAAAATCCTCTTATAAGGATTTTATTTATATAATGCGTATGTGCATTGTAATGCAGGTTGTTTTGAATTCATTGAGATTTACAAATTTTATCTTTTTAACGTAACATGACTTGAGGACGGCGGTATGCGCGACAGAGGCAATGTTTTAACAATTTTTAAACACACATTTTGAATGGCTCTACTGCTTAATTGAGTGATTGTAATTTTCCCAGAAGCATGGCTCAGGCCCGTTATAAGGTGAACATTTACTCAAATTACACTGATGGCCCAACGGTAAATCATTTAACACTATCCATTCAAAAGCTATAGGTTAGAAGAGTAGAATCATGCAACAAGAAAAAGTTACATGTTAACAGTACGCATTTGAATAAAGCAGCAGACGAACATTCATATGTACTGAGAAAATATGACATACCGGGTAATCCGTAGAACAACGAGGGAATCATGATGCAAATGCATTTTAGCTAACAATCAACACAACGACACGCTATTAAAACTGGACAAAAATTACAAAAATATAAAATAAAAGTAAAATGAATGCATGCAAGGGAAACGAATAGTGAATGTCAAACCCATATCACATACTTGATCAAATAAAGAATAATTTATAGACCTCCTCGCAGCATGGGGATAATTTAGCTACTTTACATAACGGAACAACAAATAATAAATAATATTCAACTGGGATTTCAAGCTGACATATCATCTTTCTTGCATGTTAGTAAACAGATAAGTAATGTTCTTCAAACATATAAAATCCTTCTTCAATAAATACGAAAACAAACAACGTAATGATCTAATTGTGAACTGGGGAGCCGTATTTTCTGTTGTGTGAAGTTATCGCCCGTATAATTTTAAATTGTATTGATTTTTTTGCATAAATAAATATTTCTGCTAAATCCATTTTAAAGTTAAAAGATCAAGAATAAATATTAAATAATTTATTTTAAAATAATGATAAAAATTTTCTCTTTGTTTTAGAAAAAGTATTTTCCCAATTATTTTTTATTGTGAAAACTTTGAAAAATGTATGTATCAGGCATATATATAATTTTTCTTAGAAGGCTGAAGTGTTACTGAAAAGATGGACCAAAAAAAAAAATAAATAAAGAGAGGGAAAGAAAGTGGGGAGAGAGAGAGTGTGTGAGGGGAGAGGGAGAGAGTGTGTGTATGAGGAGAGAGACAGTGCGTGTGTGTGAGGAGGGAGGGGAGGGGAAGAGAGAGGGCATGAGTGGGGGAGAGAGCGTTGGGAGAGAGAGGGCGTGAAAGGAGAGGGGCAGAGAGTGAGTGGGGGAGAGAGTGAGTGGGGGAAAGAGAGAGGGAGTGGGAAGAGAGTGTGTGAGTGGGGGAGAGTGTGTGAGTGGGGAGAGAGAGGATGTGAGTGGGGAGAGAGTGTTTGAGTTAGTTGGGAGTGGGAAGAGAGATTGTGAGTGGGGGGAGGGTGTAAGTGAAGGAGAAAGAAAGTGAGGAGAGAGAGTGGGGAGACAGAGAGATCGAGAGGGGAGAGAGCGCGAGTGAGAAAGCAAGTGGCGATAGAGAGAGTGGGGAGAAAGAGAGAGGGAGAGAATGGGAGCGAGAGTAGGGGAGAGAGAGCAAGTGGGTAGAGAGACAGAGAGTGAGTGGGGAAAGAGTGTAAGTGGGGAGAGTGGAGTGGGTGAGGAGAGTATGAATGAGGAGGGAAGAGAGAGAGAGAGACGGGTGAGAGAGGGAGTGGTGTTTCAGTTTTATGTTAAAGTTAAATTATGTCAATAGTTTTTTACATATACTACGAAAGCCCATTGAGCTCATTTTCGTAGATAAAAAAATATATTTTTCGCGTTATAACTCGAAACTTTCGCGAATAAACGCGTAACTTTCGCGTTATAACGCGAAACTTTCGCGAATAAACGCGTAACTTTCTCGTTATAACGCGAAACTTTCCCTGTAAAACAGAGACATTTGCATAAGTCTACAGTTTGTTTTACTGTTTAATGATCTAGTTTATTCATTACAGTGAAAGTCGCCCGCGTGGCGCAGTGGTTAGAGCGTCTGCTCTAGAATCGCGAAGTAAGGAGTTGATCCTTACGTCGCAGGTTCGAATCCCACTGTGGGACGAGGAGACCGGTCCTTCGGATGAGACCGTATAAACCGAGGTCCCGTGTCGCAGTAGGTGCTGGCACGAAAAAGATCCCTCACTGCTCAATGGCCGTAAGTGCCGAGTATAGGACAAAATTTGCAGCTCTCCACCGGCAAATGGTGGCGTCTCCATATGAGTGAAAAATTCTCGAGAGGGACGTTAAACAGCATACAATCAATCAATCAATCATTACAGTGAAAAACGAAAGACTATTTTGAACTTGGATTACCACGAGCTGAAATTTTATGTTTTCTCACCATTGAATGTGTCTTTCCTCTTTCTAAATCTTTTTTGCCGTCACATATTGTCTTTCTCAATGCTGTTCAATACAAGTGTTGAAGCGTATGGTAGAGGAGCGAAAATACAAGTCTAATTTTAATTAGATTGAACACTCTATATAGAATTTGAAATAAAAGATCTCAGAAAATTGACAACAATGAAGTAAATTTGTATTTCACGGAACAATTGTGTCACATCACATGAGTAACCTAATGTGAAAATTGGATGACAAATATTCGTATCAAATATTTCATCTCCGATAGACTCACTGAAGAAATACAACATTGTTTTTTAAGGTTGCACCATTTGGTCATACCATTACTTACGAAAACATTGACAATTTTTTCAAAGAAAGCAACGAGTGGAGATCTTCCTGAGAAAAAAAAATAGTCTACAGAATTTCTTGGATTCAACAAGTGAAAAACAAGAAAATCTTTAAAGGAATATTCATTTAATTAATTAGTAGGGTTTTAAGATTAAATGCAAAATCAACACTAATATATCCATTTCTCGCATCAATTCTCTTTTACATCTTCTGAAGAAATGTCATTTATAAATTCATAGAAGTCCCCCTCTGCGTTCATGTTTTTTATCTGTCAGTCAAGATCACAGGTTCCCGAGTAACATGTAATATACGAAAGTAATACAAGAAAGTTACGCGTTATAACGCGAAAGTTACGCGTTTATTCGCGAAGGTTACGCGTTATAACGCGAAAGATACGTGTTTATTCGCGAAAGTTTCGCATTTATTCGCGAAAGTTTCGCGTTATAACGCGAAAAATATATTTTTGTTACCTACGAAAATGAGCTCAATGGGCTTTCGTAATATCCAACTGAGCTGACTTTTTTTAAAATTTTTTATGTTGTAAATTTTGCTTTTCTGGTATGGGTACTTCAAAATTAACTTGATATCATACTTGGATATTTTTTCTACTTGTATAAATTGTATAAAACAAGATATTTAACTTTAATGTGTGGCAAGTTGACTTGAATGAGTTCATTGTGTTGCAACTTACCAAGCAGTTTCTACATGTTTTCCAATATCTATATATAAAGCCGCGCAATCTGACAAGAAAATGTTGTTCCCTAACCCTCAAATGAATAATTAAATAGAAATTATTAGAAATAACTAGTATCTATCATTTATTAATACGTGTTTCCAACAATCCTCTGTGTGTATTTGCTGCAATATTGTCAGTCTACATGATCCACGTGGAATACCAATCCCGATGTATTTTTATAGTATCTAAATATAAGTTTATATGGTAAGCGAACACTATACAGTTTCAAAGCACTGTATCATAAGCTCAACGTGTTTTCAACAATCCTCCAAAAACATCAGTTTGTCTTTACTGCAATTGTCAGTCTTCCTGATCTATATGAGTGGATTGTAACGCTGGTATTTTTTGTAATATCTTATGACACACATCGCACAAGTTTAATAACAGACTTACCTATTAAATGTCAAAAATATTCCGTATTTCGGCACTATGATCTATTTTAAAATTTTACTTGTATACTGTTTTCTTGTACAATAAACATAAAATAGGATTTATTTTGCCCCCTACTTCAAATATATTATGTGCCTTACAGCACACTCTAAAGATGGGTAGAGGAAAATTTTGGAAAAGATGACATAAGAGTTTATATTAAGATTTTGAACAAATTAAAATGCCGTTTAATTATGTAAACGGATGTTATAACAACTCTTACTTCCTCTTCCTTTGAACAATTTCAAGATCCGCGCCTGTAAAGAATTAAATAATAGTACCCTTTACAGACCATAATAAAACATGTCCGTATTGTATTGTATTGTATTGTATTGTTCGGCCACATGTAACTAGTTTTAATCGTTCCTCGCGAGAATCGTCCTCATTCTGATAACAATGGAGGCAGGAGGAGGCCGGAGAAAATCCATGAGATTTTCTAAACAAGAAACTTTTGTTAATTTTAAGGAGTCACATTCTTCGCCCTGGTGCTTTTGAGGAAATTTTAAAAGAAATGAAAGAGAATCTTTCCACTTTGGATATTGTCACTAGAAATTTATATATTGATGAAAATACACGCAAACGTTTGACACGAATTCCATCGCTTGCAAGAAGGTGGGGATGCTGAAAAAAGACCCAGAGATAAGGTACGATAAATAGATTTATCCGACATATTTTTTTCATTATACACTTAATATATCAATGACTTTTAGGCATAAACAAATTCTTCATAAAATCATCAAAATCTATGAATATTTACACCTCTTTTAAACTAACAATTCAACTTTGAAGTGATTATCTCTTTTTTATATTCAAAACATTGAATAGCTAAAATTAATAACTTGAAAATAGTTTTTAGAAAATACATTTTGGAACAGAAGTCATGGAAAGGCGCCACTTAAGGAGAACTGAAGGTGCAGTCCCCCTTGGCGGATCGGTGGGAAATATGCACAGCAAGCGCGGATCTCTCAGTGAAGCACTCTCTTCCCAAGGACCCAGTAGACCAATAAGTCTAATTCAGTGGATATCGCTAAGTACACTGCCCAGCAGATCAACGAAACACAGCCAATCCCTGATTAGCACACCCTCGATCCATGGACCCAGTAGGTTTTGTCCAGTGGAGACCGTTGAGCACAGAGCCATTGTTGCACGGACCCAGCAGATATGCAGAGCAAAGCCAATGCCATACTAAATCAGCGTTGTACACTGGACCAAGACGGGCAGCAGGTCTAGTTCAGAGGAGATCGCTCAGCACTGTTGAGTCGGAGCCAGGACCAAGCTGATCGACAGACCACAATCTCAGAATGACGCACCCTCCGCCTCTAGACCCAGTACTGGCAGTAGGCCAGTAGATTTTCTTCAGCATAGATCTACCTCGCAGCCCAGGCCAAAGAGATCAGCGGAACAAGGTCAGCCTAGATCGTTTTCGGAGATGGGGAAAATGATGTCGATCCAGAGGACATCCGATTGAAATGGATCGGAGAGGACGCCAGGGCATGTGAAAGAGACCGGGGGAGAGGAAAGGAAGAGAACTACAAAAGAACTTGTCGGAGAAAATGAGAAACTGAAAAATAAACTTCTTAAGTAATTTTAAAACGAAAAATAAAAACATTTGAAGATTCTAATTCAAGTTCCTCAAGTTCTGAATCCTCTACCGAATATTTATTAAATTCACAAACTTGTTTTTTGAGCTTGCCTATGTGAGTTTAAAAATAAAGTCTGTCTGTCTGTCTGTCGGTCTTCATGCCTATCTACATTTCTCCTTCTTTTGGAACTTTTTGAATAAAAAATGTAACTGTACAGTCAAATCTGTGATGACACACTTTAAGTAAAAAATATCTCAGGGTCGTCCCTGTTTTTAAACTATGTGCACATTTGTCGTCTGCTCGTTACTTTACGTCAGCCATGGAGTTTAAATTTTACGAAATTTTAACTTGTCAATAAGACACAAATTTATATTACACAAACTATTTATAATTTTACTTTCGTACATGTACCTGTAAATTTTGTCTCAAAGATATAAATCAAATGTGAAAAACTTAAAACTTCTTTTCGGGCAGTTCAATGTTTGTCTAATTTTACAAGAGTATTGCATAATTGTATTTGAAAAAAAAATTATATACTGTATTTGGCACGATTTCAAAAGTTTCTGCAGTTTAATTCAATAAAATAATAAGCGCATTAGCCTTATATGTAGACTAGAAACTAGCAACTAAAAAAAACCCTTTAAAAAAAACCAACACTTTTGTAAACAAACAAAAAACCGTATTCTGGGGGAGGGGGCAGACAAAGAAAATGACAAAAAAATGTTTAAAAAATTGGGAAGGGGTGGCGGATATAGGTTCTGGCCTTTCAACAAAAATTTCTATATCAGACTACTAAATATTCTAGGTACACGGGTAATGAAGGCACACGTCTCGGCCGCCCTGATACTAAATGTATGTGTCTACACATTAATGAGAGTGCCCCGTTTCAAGGATTACAACCCCTTGGCATGTAAAAGATCGTTTCTCTGAATTTTGAAAAAGCTCAATGGGGCCCCCAGAGAAACCAAAACATTAAGTTTTTAAAACCAATTACATAAACTAAATTATCCTTTGAAATACTGCTGAAATATTACCGACTCGGCTTTAAACAATAAACGATCAATCAATGAGAGAGAGAGAGAGAGGGAGAGAGAGAAAGATCATTGAATATACATATATTAACCCTACTTGAGCCCCAACACTCGCTTTATTTAGTATAATAGATCGAACTCCTTTCAGTTCCTTATGATGTCCGGATAGGGCCATTTGAAAAAGCTGAACAGCGCGTTC